TGGGGACACTCCCTCGAGTGGCAGTGATAGAGTACAATCCCGCCCGATTTGCTGGCATGCAGACTGAACCCGAAGTTTCCGTCCCCAGCGATAACGGCGCAAAGCCGGCTGAAACGCCCACTGCAGACCCGGATGAGGAGCCTCCCGGTCCAGAGCGACCGATAAATAGGTCGTCCGATTGAAAACCACCCTTGATATAAGCTGACTGAGTCTGTCCATTTACTGCTGACCAACCGGCGGTCATGCACGTCGCCTTCAGGCCGCAGAATTCCGTCAGACTGGCTTTGGCGAGGATGATCATGCCACGATCTAGAAGAGTTTCTATGATAGATGCGTTCTTCCGTCCGTAGGTGTCCTTGAACGCAGCGGCGCCGACCGTAGTAGGTAGTCCTAGGGACTCGGACGTGATGATCGCATCTTTTATTATAATTGGAATTCCATGAAGTGGGCTTCGGATCTTGCCCTGCGATCTTTCGTCGTCGCAGGCTGCGGCTTGAGAAAGAGCAGCTTCGGCATTGACGGAGATTATTGCATGCAGCTTCAGGCCAGATTTATTGTGCTGGACTATTTGAGCGAGGTAGGCCTTGACAATCTTCACACTAGTTGTGCGGCCCCGGTACAACAGCTGGCTAAGCTGAGTTGCCGTTGCGGTTAGGACGTCCCATTCATCCATGCTATCGAATTTATCCAATCGTCCTGGTGTCTTTGGAGCACAATGTATTTGATAGAATCAAGGATATCTCATCCCCTGGATCTATTTGCTAGAAATGTAATCATCGAAGCCTACACTGACAGGCAGCAGTTTCATGTGGGTTGGTTATCTCTCTGGATATCATCGGCACATCCACTTTGGGTTAAGTGCTTACTCGCACGTCATGCAAGATAGCATATCAGCACTGGTCAATGACTGAAGAATCCTAGCTTATCCTCTATCTCACCCTAATGGATACATTCTTGGTCAATGGTTGTGGATAGTATAATTTGCCAGGGTTGGTATGGTGTCCCTACCAAGGGAGAAGATGTAGCCTATTGGATGACTATAGGTTTCGAACTTTGCTACAATCAATGAGGACTGTCATCCCCGAAATCATCAATTCCCACCCACATACTTTTATCCGCATTGAGGCTCGGAGACATCGTATACAAAGTTCTCTTCCAGGCCCTCCTGCACGATTTGCAGTGTAGCCAACACATCTTACTATTGCCGACGGTGTTCATATAAGTAATACTTGAAGCGTGGATCGCTGGTTATAATCCCCTGAGCCAGTCGCTCAAACTCTTGCTCTAACTTCTGTTGTTTCTAACTAAAAGTCCATATCGAAAGTATCTCCTGAGTCGAAGGGTGCATAGCTGTTCTGCAAACTATGACGATGTAAAAATGACTGGCCGGCCGTTCGGGACCTCAACAGCCCGAAGTAATCCACCGATAAGGCTGAAGGTCCGATCAACCATGGCAGGGTTTGGGTGTAGCCTAGTCCGACGACCAGTCGGAGAGGAACCACCCGAAAAGAGTGGTCTCGACGGCGCCACGTTGAGAACCGCAGCGTCAGATGCTTGGCTTAACATCAAACACCTGTATAACTCATGACTCATGGGGCAGGGAGCAAGGTCTGGTCCAATGGAGCCATGAATGAGCTTCAATCCTTTGCACATGAAGCGCCACCGGCAGAGACAGCGAGGCTCGGACTGCGGGGATAAGGCTGTGGCTGTTGCTGTGGCGCAGCAATTCACCGTCGGACTTAAAGCCCGGGCTGCTTAACTGGGTAACTAGCTCCGCAAAGCCGATAATGACTCATCAGAACATACCCCATCGGGTTAGTAAAGGTGACGTATTGGGAAAAACCCGAAGAGCATTAGGATATCCGAGTCGGCATATGCTAATCTCCGGGCTGTGGCGATGCCAATCGGGGAAGGATTACGACGACTATCAACAGCCTGTGGCGTAGATCATGTAGAGTAGCTATCATGGATGCCTGAAACAAGTCTATATAAGGGATACAGCTTAACCTGACAAAGTTCGCTTCATCATTACAATCATTCAAATCACTCCCTCTCATCAATACCTTCTCCTCTTTACACAATCCGACACTCAAGCATTAGCCGAAACCTCGTATAATCATAAGAACCCAAACCACAACAAGTATCACATAAGAACCAACATGGCCAACATTCGTGATCTCAATCAACTCCCTCCCTACTGGGAAGTTGTCGCCAGCATGGAAGAACCAAGCTTTGCTCACCCTTTCTTCGCCGGTCACAATCACAACCACATGCCTCATGGCGAACACTTTGCCGGTGCTGGAGACTTCGATCTGCCCCATCGCGGCCGCCATGGCCCTCACCACCGCCGTCACCGCCGCGGAGAGCCTGTGACTGAAGACGAAGAACCTACCCAGACCGAAACTGCCGAAGATGACGAACCCTCCTCTTCCTCCTCCGACGAGGAAGACCATGACGAACCCCGGAAATGCAAGCGTCATGGTCGCCACGGCGGTTTCCATGCCAGAGGCGGCAAGGGCCGTCATGGACCCGGTCGCCATGGCCGCGGTCCATGGGGGAAATTCGACCACCCCCCTCATCCCGGGGCATTTGGAGCTTGGGGAGCTGATTTTCATGGACCCCACGGTGGATTTGGCCCCCATGGCGGCTTCGGCCATGGGCCGCATGGTCGGTTCGGGCCCTACGGGGGTAGACACATGCGCGGTGGCTTCAAGCATGGTGGTCGGGGCGGACCGCACCGTGGCTTTGGCCCATTTGGATTCAAGGAGTTCGGCCACCATCATCACGGCAAGCATCACAAGCGCGGCAACTTTTTCCACCCCGAGGTGGATGTATTCGATACTACTGAGGCCTTTCTAGTGCATGTTTCGCTTCCTGGAGCGAAGAAGGAAGCGGTGGAAGTGAAGTGGGACCCGAAGAAGTTCGAGCTGAATGTCAGCGGAACGATTGAGCGTCCTGGCGATGAGGAATTGTTGAAGACATTGGCGTTGGATGAACGTCGCGTGGGGACTTTTGACCGTCAGGTACGATTGGGCAGTATATTTCAGCCCGTGGAGGTGCATGTCGAGGGCATCACGGCCGAGATGGAGAATGGAGTGTTGAACATCAAGTTGCCCAAGGTGGAAACGGATGTGGTGATGGTGACGCGTGTGGATGTGCAGTGAAAATTTTATTCTTCTTTTAGGAAAGTGCTATCAGATTTCTTCCATGATGGAGTGATATGACTCAGGTGTTAAACTGTTTGTTGTTGTTATTGTTATCAAGATTGATGGTTATTTGCGATCATATTGTACTTAATGAAATGAAAATGGGATCTCTGATCCCCACATCTCCCACATGACTAAAATCTTCACAGTTGATGCCCAGTAATTCAGTAGTTAGTCAACTAGTACGAACGAGTACTACTTTGTAAGGACCAGCCAAAATGAGGAAAGGAATGACACTGGAGCACGTGATGTCTGCCTCGGCTTTCAGATCTCCTTCGGGAGTTGGATATCCCGCATACGGGTTATACCAAAGTAGCAGTAGTAGTGGTAGTAACTTCACCATCGAGGGGTCCTGGCATTCAATTGTACAGTAACTAATCATAAGTAAGAACAGTTACTGTGCCTTTAGAAATACTTGCTGCGACTGCTACAAGACAGTTGATGCCGGCTGCTAGTGTGCTTATTAGTAGCTATAGTAATGTAAAGTTCAAAATATATACCCTTGCTAGTAGGGCTGGCTCCTAGAAGGAGGGGTTCTTAAACTTGGTTGTGACAGTGGGGCCGGTTGGAACTTGGCAATATACCAGCGTCTACAGTTTCGCGCATCATCAGCTTCACAGATGTAGGAATAATACTATGTTGAAGGGGTGTTGGAAAGGGATGCGAACTGTGCTGCTTGCCTGAGGCCTGCAGGCAGGAGGGATAGCGGGATGCGCCGCCCAATCCCACCAATCACAACCAGATATGGTTCTTGGCATCAGCACTAGTCCCAATCGGGACTGACCCTGTCAGCTGCTTTGTGTTCCGTCCAGTTAATACCCTACAACGTACTACTGTCTAGGTCTCACCAGCTCCAACATGGTGATGAAAGTCTTTCTATTTCTTTCTCAATCTCCTCCGGATTCAACCATTCACCATTGACGGTCAGCTGTGCTCTGAGTAAACCCTCATAGTCCACACTTGGAGTGTTGTGCCTACCACGGAGATTTTACGCTCACTTCCCGGCGCGAAGGTGGGTCACCAAGTGTCACTCCAGCCACAGTCATTCCTCTTTCCCCTCAGCCAAATACTCTCTCCGCAGTGGAAACAGACTGACCCGCTCGATGAGCGTCTTAGACTCCGATACATATACCATCGATCGTGACCTTTTCCAAACTGGCAATCGACATGACCACCTTCAGTCCTCTCCCAGCCTACATCCTGGGTAGCCTGACCCTCGCCCTGGGCTGCCATGCACTGGCTCGCCCTGGCCCCGAGTATCCGCGTTTCGGCTTACCCTTCGAACCCACCGCTTCTTCCGCTTCGACCCATGGCAACAAACGCACACCTCCACCCGGCGCAGTTTCTCCCCTCATGTACATCAAGGGCATTCGTGAGACGAGCTACGGTCTGACACTGCTTGCCCTGCAGTACTACGGTCAGGAAACCGCCGTTACCATCTTCGCCGGCGTCTGCGCGCTGGTTGGCCTTGCCGATGGGTTCGTTGTCTGGGCGAATGGGGGCGAGGCGCTCAAGACCAAGGCCTTTGGACACTGGATTACATGCGTGGGATTTGGGGCGTGGGCCTGGTGGAGGGCTTGTGCGTAGGGAGTCTGGGACCAGTCCACAGATTGGCCTGATCCATAATGCTCGTGGAGTAAGCTGAGCTCCAAACGTAGCAAGGGATTTCCTGGCTGTTTAAACAACGTATAGCGTCCATTATAATATCGCCTTGATCATGATGGTCGTAGACTACGCCGTAAAATCTGAAATTATTTTGTTCAGGGAAGAATGGCCGACGCAAACACATAATTGAAGGCGCTACAACTGCTCCATCCGTTTGAAAGCAAAGGAAGGCTATTTTCACTCCTCATCTTTCCCCCATCTTGCACACTACTCCCCAACCTCCCGATCATCCTTCCAGAACACAAATTGGACGAAGGGCCACTTCATCGATGCCATGCGAATATGCCGTCCCCACAAATACAACGGGATAAAGAACAGCAGACAGCCTCCCGAAATGCCCGCCATGGCGCCAAAGGCGGCCGCATAGCCTGATTCGGCAATCCAGGGGTTGGTATAGAAAGATAGCAGGAACCCGAAGCAGGCTTACTGAGATGTCAGTCATACGGTTACTTCAACCTAAAAGAACAAGAAAGATGGGTCCTACATTTGAAAGCCAGCTGAGTGACGGCGACTTCACCAGCCACCGGTCGGTAAGCGTCAACGCAATACACGAACGAGACATTTGTCCCTTGACTGATGGCAAATGATACTGTGTAATTGCATTAGCAAGAGTTATTGTCATAAATTCAAGGGGGAAAACAGACATAAGCCTAGGCCAATGGTGGGCACAATCCAATGCCAGGCGCGATCGATTCCAAAGCCGTACAACAGCAGCGCCAGTGGTGCAGCAATCACACTCGGGATAATAGCGGGCAGACGCATTTCCGGCTCTCGAATACCACCGTTGCGCTTGGTGAGATAGTCGGCCACCCAGTCAGAAAAGGGCCCTCCCGCAAAGGTACCGAAGAAACAGCCCAGCATGCCGGCAATGAAGCACAATCCACTCTGCCAGGCAGCAAACCCATACGTTTCGCTAAAAGCAGTGGCAAAGTTTGATGTGACCGCCACGAGGAAGCCGATTGTCACGGACATGACGATGGTGGCCCAGAAGATCGGAGGCAGCAGAATGAGACCGAAAGGTCGGATGAACATCCGCCATAGGGATTCGTCTGTGTATGTGTGACCGGACCAAAAGCGCAGACTCTGCAGATAGCTCTGTCTGCGGGAAAGTCTCTCTTCTCCCCGGGACTCGACATGCTCGGCATGCTTCTGCGTGTTGTAAACATCATCCGCATTATCGGTTCGACGAAATGCGGTCTCGGGGAAGAAGAAGACAACCACAATCCACAGAGTACCAACAAGTGCGCAGCCGACCCAGTATATCACACGCCAGGAGTGGTTGATCGTCACCAGGCCAGAGATGATGATGCCAAAGGAGACACCCGCGCTCAAGGCGGAGTTGTAGATTCTAGTGAGCGGAGGAGAATCAGCTTCAGAGCTTGCTTATCGATTTGAATCATTCACTTACGCCATGCCATAACCGCGCTGGTGGAGATAGAAGACATCGGCAATGGTGACCGGGGCCAGACACTCTCCTGCCCCTGCACCGACACCCAGGATGGTACGGGTGGTGAGCTCACCGGCATAGGTCTTTGCCAGCCCGGCTCCCAAGATCATGAAGAAATAGAGCAGGTATGCTGATATGTAGATGGGCCGCCGACCGTACTTGTTGAGGAGTGGAACCCAAATCAAGTTGGAGACGCCCTGCAGCAGCGCACTGTTGTTAAAAAAGTAGGCTGCGCGAGACACACTCGAGTTGAAATCTGCCGCGACATCCACCATAGCGACGGTCGGACCGGCAGACATGAAGTTGCACATCACCATAGCGAGAGAGACAAGAATGGCAATATAAATCTTGTACGAGGTAGACCTAGCGGAAGATATGAGCGACGAACTGTATGCAAGGGCGAGCTTGTACATACCATCGTAGTGGATCGTTTGGGTCATCCGACGGAGTAGGGACCAGAATAACCTCGTTGGTTTCATGATGGCGCAGGCGAACATGGCCCAACGAACGATGAGGATGATTATCCTCATCCATAATCTTCTGCACCGTCCCCACCGAGGATTTAGGGTCTCTGGTCGCCATAAAGTGATGTCGTCTCCTCACAATTGTCGGGTGAGTAATGTAGCGGGTGGGGACACTGAGGAGATCCTCCTGGCCAAGCTCCTTATAAGCTGCGGGCTGGGCCCCTCACTTGGCTCGTGGCTCGTGCAGATGTCAGAGGCCAAATGATCGACGTGGACTGTCAAGGGATGTGGAGTCCAAATCCGGGGTAAGAAGAATAGGGTTGTGGGGGAGATCTCGGGTGCGGCCAGTTCACTTCGGCTTGCAATGTCACCTCCCCCTTTCTGTCCGTATTGAAAAAGAGGGGGGCAAGCCGGCAACTACTTATCACTCTGGTAGCTGTTCAGACCCCAGCACGAGTGCCCTTTTAGCACGGCGTGGATCTTCTTCCGGCCTCTGACTCCCACGCACCAGGGAGCGACCTGTATGGGGTCGGCTGCCCACGACGGCAACGATGTGTCGGCCAGATAAAATTCAAATCGTCTATTATCACAGCTTGCGTAATATGGTTTCGTGGCTACTTGCACGTGAAGTCCATTAGTACGGCAGGAGAGTCGGGAAACCAACGCCACTGCAATCTAGCCCAATCCTGCGGCTTGTTTGGACGTCCGGCAGAGCTACAGCTCCGGCTTACGATGAAACAGTTCAAGTAATAGATAGGTAACATATCACAAGACAAAGGGGAACTGCCTTTGAAACTAAAGGTCTATTCTCGTCCAGCCCGCACCGGGCATCTGCAGACGTTATCACACGTTTTCATTTTAGAACTGAACTTCATTGGATAAGCCAAGACTGACATCCTTGATAAAGTTATGACTATTTACCGATAGCTACATCTTCCATCAATTGTGAATACTGTCAAACCTTCTGATCACAAAATGTGATCCGTCGTGCCTATGCCAAAAGCACACTAACCCCCCGTCAGCGCCCAGTAACCTTCCTAATACGATTGCAGACTTCCACCACCAGGGAGGGTTGTGTTTGCGGACTTGATCCACGCATTCGCAGAGGAGGAGGCATTGTAATAGATACTGTATCCCTGACTCGCAATGTTGCTGTTGGTGGTATCGGCATTGGTGAAGTTCTGGAGATAGACATTCTTCGTCAGCGTCCAGGTGGACGTCTTGTCGAGTGCCACTGCCAGGTATGCAGTCCCTCGGCCGGTGGAGGCCGTTCCCGTCCAGCTCGAGTATTCAGCCAGGCTCCAAGAGATGGAACTGCCGTTGTAGGCCACGATGTCGCCGCTCAGTGTGGACTCAGTGACCGTCACTGTAGCTTGCGCAGGCTGGATGCTCGAATTCTCTTCCCAGCCGACGAAGTGATCAAAGGATTGAGTGATTTGGGAGGCGTTGGCAATCACGAGAATACCCGACGTGGTATTCAGCTCGGTCGCATGCAGCGTGGCTGATGCAATCAGATTCCCAAACCATAGTGCTGCCATATCCTCTCCCAGTGTAGTGAGTCGGGAGTTCGAGAACGACAGGGATGCCCCGCTGCTGCGCGTAGAGGACGAGAACATGACTGTCCCTGCCAGAAGGCCAGCGGTGAAATCGACATTTTCGAAGACAGAGCTTTGCGCTCCGTCAGAGAACAGGCTCGGTCCATTCTCGGACTTTCCAACAACATCTTTGCCATAGCTGTCACCAAGAGTGTAAAAGATGGCGCTGCCAATCCCGGCTGTGTGAGCGATGGCATCAGTGACATAGATGTACCCGCCGGGGCTGTCACCCGAGAAGGAGGATGAGCGTTTCCCGCCTGAATAGTGTCGCAGATTGGAGGCATAGACGGTCCCGTTCCCGGCCGCATAGAGACCGTGGGACACCGGACCAGAACTGTACAGGTCGGTGTTGCTCACGTACACGGTGGTCCCGGTCCCATAGGCATAGATGTTGGCCGCACCATTGTGAACGGTGATGTTGCTGTGGTCAATGTAGGCTGTCGAGGCGTTGGCTACATTGATGGCCGCATTGACCCCAAAGAAACTGGCCTGATTGAGCCAGGTTGAGTAGCCTTTCTTGATGACATCAGTATACGACACATTAACTGCCGATCCTTCTGTCACGACGAGAACGCTGGTATCGTTCGCATCCACCGTCAAGGTTTGGTGGTCAATTTCGCCATCCTCATCGCTATAGTAGTAGGGGCCTGTGATATTGTACAGAAGGTATTGTGGCCCGCCATTGTCCGTGGTGTAGTCGGCTTCCAAGGTATTATCGGTTGCGTCGGCAGCCAGATCAGCGTAGTCGCTGGGATCTAAAACGGTGATTGTGGCTAAGGCCAGCGGCAGACAGGCCAACAGAAGTCGAATAGATGCCATTATGCAGGTAATTGGGAGGAGACAACAAGACGATCACAAATGACTCAAATTGGAGCTGCCCTTCAAGGTACATCGAGTGTACCTACAGGCCTATTTATCTAACCCGTCGTCCATACTGGAAGGTCCGTGAAGCTGTCGCCCACGTCACCATCCTTGATAATTGCTCAGGAAGTGTGGAGCCGTTTATGGCATCGTGTTGGATTAGTCCTCTGCGGGAGCTGTGACTTCCCCAACCCTAGCAATGAGGACTCTAGTGGGGAACAATTGATCTGTCGGATTGTCTCTAATGCTTTGGCGGGGTTGACAACAATAACATAGAGTACCATGGAAGCTACACGTGGACAAACAACTTGTCCTCCTCACAGTTCTTGTTAATGTCGATCGGGAGCATCTTGTGGAGCCGAATAAGGTTGTCAATCCGAGGTCTGACGGTATACGCAATCACTCCTCTGCCAAGACATGACGGAACATCTCCAATTGGCTTAAGTTTGCTGCATTCATTACTATGCATGGGCATGGCATCAAAGCGGAGGGGGATCCAATCGTCTAGGAACACCGATATAAGTACCTGTCATCGAGTGTATATTCCTGCTCGGGTGCCTGAATGTAAGGAACGACACTTCCATGCTTATCTCCACATGCTCATCCGTAGCTAGTCTAGTAGTGGTACACGTTGCCGGCTGAGTGTTGGGATGAAATTCAGTTGAGGGATGCATCTGTAGCCTGCTCGTTCAGGTGCATCGGACGCGTGCGAACCAAGTAATCAATTCGACGATCATGCAAGGCGGAGAGTGCGGCGAAGATTGAGAGGGCGATCGAGTCATGATGGGTCAGATGCCGAATCTGAATTGGAGGGTGAAAATGCGCCAAAGCACCGGCGTGTTCGGCATGGGTGGTGCCCTGGAGCTTGTGGACGTGCCGAAGGAGACTGGTCGAGAACGCGATCGCATGAAGGAGGTTATCACGAATAAACCTTTGATGCTGTTCGATCTAGCGGAAACCTTACTATATCAGTCGATGATTCCCTCGAGCAGGTTGCGTTGCGTAGGGGATATACCAAATAACCGATCTATATTGGTCAATTGTGGAGATCCACACTCATTGCCCGGAAGTTTGAACTGTTCATTACCAAGTCTGATGTCTCCCATGCGGGTAGACTGGCCGATTTCATGGCGGACATCGCCGACTCCGGCTTCGAAGAAAAGCTTCGGATCTTAGCATCGCTTGCCGTCAAGATCAGGTTGGATGGATTTGGAATAAGCACTTTGCAAAGCTTTCAGCCTGAGATGCAATTTGCAATCAACGTCCTTCTCCCAAATCGTAGACATAAAGTTAGTACAAAGTGTATATGCTGTGTTCCCTCCGGCAGACTAAAAAATACAAGATCCAAAGCACTGATCCCCTATTCCGCGTTAGAGTAACTACGGCCCCGATCCACGAGAGGTGGGAATAACCACTGAACAAGCTCAGCAGAGAATCACCAACTCCACATATTGCGGAATTCGCTAGAGAACAAGTCCAGATCATCCAAAGTCGGCTCCCACGTATAAGAAAGCACCGGAGTACCCGTATCCGTATGCTTTAAACGAGTGTTATGATGTATATCATTCCATTATCTCCACCCGTGGGCGGTGCTTTGGCCTCAACGGACGGACTCGTCCTCGTGTCTTGATACGATGTGGATTGGCAATCACCCACTGAGAAATCTCTGGTTCTGCAGGGTTGGGCCTGTAGCATTGCATTGTACGGAGCGTAATGATGTCTTTTGATGAATAGAAAGGAAAGGCCACGGCGTGAAGAAGAGAGGGAAATGAGGATGTGGTTGGAGGAAGCTAGACTGGCGGGGGAAAGGGGAGAAAGAGACAGCCCGGGCGATAGATTGGATGGATTGGATGGACTGAATGTGATGAATGAATGTGGTCGGTGTCCTGGCCTTTCATTAGTCTGCAAAAGGAATGGACAAGGTCTGGGGTTTTGGTCCTTTTGAGCATGCGATCCATGCTCTTCCGCCCCTATGCAGATCGTTTCATACAGCTCCTCGGCAAATTCGTGGGGTGTGTGGTTTGTCCATAATCAACAACATACTACAGTTCTTCCAGACCAAGGTCGCAGGCGATCCAATCCGCCCGTCCAAGTCACTGCTAAAGATAATTACCTGGAATTCTATTGATAGCTGGAAATCTATTCACAGATTTGACTTATGATAAATTGACTCATACACATAGCAAGGGGCTTATTTTGGTTGTGAAAAAAAAAAAAAAAATTTGAATGTGGAGAAGCTGCTTGGCTGCTGATCAATCACAAGCAGCTACTGGGAGGAGAAACACCGGTATCGGTTACAGCTTGGACGACTTTGGGTACTGATGCAAAGGGGAATGAGGAGTTTTGGTACCATATGATCTTTGAATTCAGTTCATGATCTTCATTGAGAAAGTTTTACACTCGAGTTAAACTTGTGAATGGGACTAGAGATGGACTACAATGAGTGAAGATGTAACAATAAGTTCCTAACTAACGTCCCTTCCACTGGCACTGTCTAATTGCATTCTTGATCTTCCATCTGCATCATGGCATGGATGAAAACCGAAATCCTGTAATCGATTTCCGATCCCCGGGCAATGGGAATGCAGCCTTTTGGCACGTGTGATCCGTCAGGAGTCGGAATTGGACCAGGATGGAGTCCGCGGCAATTATCAGACGAGCATAGGCCTAGGCAGTAACATCTCCAGGCGTCCCAGATGGGCATACCTAGTCCTCGCCATGGACGGGAATCTTGAATCCGGCAGACTTGATACCTAGCGGGATGGGTGCTTGTGCGAACTTGACAGGCTCGAAAAATAGCGGAGATACGATTCCAATGGATTGATTCCACCCCCTGACCCCAATTATCCATGGGAAAGCCATCCTCGGCGATGGCGATCTCAGGCGGAGGTGAAGGGGCCCAGACATGAAACTCGCGACGCAGTTGAGATGAGTGTGGGAGGCGAGAGACGAAACATATCTCGAACAGATACTTCTTCTGGCTATCATACTTGAGACCCCCGGCCTTCGTATGGCGAAGTATTGGATTGACTCTGCATAGACCTTCCAAGCATTCTGATAGGGTGCGGACTTCTTCCCCCAACACCACGGGCACTTGATCCCAGCCCATGCGTTCGAACCACCAGGCCTCAATCTCGCTTGGAGGCCAATTCAAACGCTCCCCAGTGACTGAAAGATCAGAATACAACTGTAGGTGCCAGAGCGCACGATAGACGCGATACTCCTCGATCCATGACGGTGGGCCAGCCTCACGCGGCTGATATGGCTCTGTGCCATCCCTAACAACCTTCTTCCAACACCATGGCTGAACTTTTCGAACACGCTCCAAGAGAGTAGTCAAACAGGCGCACGCAAGTCGTTGAATGTTGGCCGCAATGCTTACCATCTCCTTGAGCACGGCTCGGGAGATCGAAGGAGGGGAGGTCATCAACGACAAAGAATGATCCTGAGCCATGAACTCAGCTAGACCGACCTTTGGTGTGGAATGCAGGCGGAGTTTTAGAGCCATCCGAAATATGGAATGCAATTCATAGCGCATAACAGGGTTCTGCTGAAGGATCGTTTCAACCAGGCGTACGGCTTCAAGATCCGCCTTCGTGTTTGGGTCAACATTGAAAAGATCCTTTAACTGTGGAGAGACTTCCAAAAGACTTTCAAAGCCAACCCAATCCGCTGCATACGAATTGATGATGGATAGAAGCTCATATGGAAATCTGTTGACATCCATTATTGCGATGAAGAACAGGTCTCAACTCAGTGAAGATTAAATTCATTGGAGGAAGTATGTTTGTGTTTCGGTAACATAAGAGGGACATTCACTTGGTTGATTCTCGAACGCGAGCCCCTGTCCTTCTCTTCGTACTCGTTTTGTTCATTCCCCCGTCGTGCTAGCTCAGCGCTCAAAGTCCAACTTTTGGCTAGTGTCGGGATAGATTTTTCTCCCCTGCTTTACTCCCTTGGTGGTGCGGGCCGTCCGATATGCGGTCCAAGGGTCCGACGTGCCACTATTGGAAGACTAAATGACCCGCCGTTGTAAAATACTGTACAGACCATGACCCAAAACATCACCAGTCCTGAAGTCCACCCTAAGTGGCCGGAATATCCTCCCAATACTACATTTCATTGAGACCTCGAGTCAGAATTAGGTGGAGAGCCAATTAGCAACTTCTCTAGCTTAATGAATCTTAGCAAGCTTCTCGGGCCCTTTTCGCCCTTGTAGTTCCTTCCATTTACGTCCGGTCGGTATATGGCCGAGTTCTCTAGCAAGACTACGATGGCCCTGCGAGTCTCTGACAGGGCCAAATTTCATCCCCCCTTATTTGCACCTTTCGTAATCTTCCACTTCTTATATGATAGTCTCTCTGTCTTTCTCCGTCACAGTACAAGCACAGGATCTTGCTATGTTATCGCTATCGCACCGTTTCATTCCTAAATATTCAACGATGCTCCTCGCCCTCTCAACTCTAACTGCTTTGCTCTCTACGAGAGCATCCGCATGGACACCAGCACCGCCGCAGTCGTCCTCAACAACTGCCTGTAGGCACTCAATTGTCAACAACACGATCACTTTCTTCAGTCATGCTCCGATGAGCTTCTCATATGGCGTCAAAAACACTGCTGCATGCGCTGATCGCTGTGCGGAATTAGTTCAGTGCCAAGCATGGCTGTACTCTACTTCTGGACAAGAATGTCATTTGTATCGCGACCAACCTGTCTTCCACTCGTCGAACCCACTCTTCGTCTCCGGATTCTGTATGGTAGAAGAAGAAGGAGCAGAAGCAGAAGAAGCACGTGAGATAAAGAAGCCTGTCTTCCCTCATACCAACATCTACCCTTCATCTTCTCCTACTCCATCTTCAGTTCTGCTCTCATCCGTGGTATGATATTTCTTGCTCTTCTATCATGTGCCTGGTCCTTTGGACTGATTTTACTGACCGAACTAAAGTTACCGCAGCATACTCTACATCAATATACGAACTTCGAAAGTGACGCTACTACTACACCATTGGCGGCTCAAGCCTCTCATGTACACCGTCGCCACGGCCACCACAACCACTAATCGTTGTCCCCAGAAGCAATGCCTTATTGATAGGTCTAGGAGAGGTTTTATTTAGTGGATAATTCCCACTGGGGCCTTCTTATCATAATATCGGCCTCATATTTTTCGTATTTGAATGGAGTTCTAATTGTTTTCACAAAAATGTGCAAAAGTATGTGCGGGAGCATTAAAGCATTATTCCTATTTTACTTTGGTAATGCAAGACGGACAACAGTCCGGTCTTTGCAATGGCTTTGTCTCTATCCATAGTCTATTAAGTGCCATTGTCGCGTTTAGGAAAGGGCTCCGAGCAACAACATTTATGCCACCCCGTGAAAGCACCATTGCGCCTTTTCACAGTTCAACATATATTTTCTAAAGTCAGATTTAATAGCGGCCCCAGCGGAAACATCATGAGAATAATACAGATATAATCAATGGTTTGTAAAAGTAATCCCGTATTGTGAATAAATCATCAGAAGTTATTCACGATCATCAAGACTACACAAAAGTGGCATATAATAACCCAGTTATAATAACGGCTCTTAAGTTACCATTTGACATTTCTTTTTTCATCTGTTTTGTTTTCCCCCCTTTAATCTCATTTTTGAGTATATCAGCTATGTTTCTTGCTAACTCGATATATATTTTAATAAATATTCAATTTCTAATAAAGTAATTTTTGAAAAAAGCTTCTTCCAAAATGTTAACTTTTTTATTTTTATTTTTATTTCACTTTTCCTTCTCCTCCCTCTCTAAATATAAGGTTTATAACTGACTGTAACTTCCCAGGAACCTACGTCAACGGCCTACGACGTCTTGAAAATTGCTGTTTACCATTGACACAAGCTTTATTTATCCGCAAGATAGACACAATAAATAGTCTTACTTGCGGTGCCTTTAAAAGATACACTCATATCAAGGATTACGCGATGGCAAGCACCTCATATTCGAGGCGGCCCTCTGTAATCTGGCTGGAGGGCTGCGGTTGGCTTGCGAAACTTGCTGCAAGAGCTTTACTGCCGACCAATGACTTCACGTCCAATAAGTGTCATTGCCATAGCATAAGACAGGAATAATATGTGTCGTTATTGTCGATTAGTGAGTGTGCTGCTCCAGAGTAGCCGCCCTTTAGGTTTAGAGCTGAAAATATATGATAGTTAGTGCCATTAATCGGTTGGCGACACATGAGAGACGAGATTTATTGTTCAATTGAATCTTCCTATACGTCGAGCTTTCGAGTTGCTACTGAGACTTGTGCTTGCAAAATGTTAGACTGACGTCTACCAGTACACATAGAGTAGGGCTTGACTAAGGGTCCAGGAAGCTGAATGTAAACCTGGTAATATTCAGAAGGCCGAAATGTACAAATGAAACAATATTAGTCTCCATGTGTCTGAATCACAACTTCTGTCGTTTTCATGATGCCGGTCTCAGTCCGATGCAGCCTCTGCTCGTCACTTTCTCTCCAGTTCCCGGATTCGCCGTCGGAGCTTCCTGCAGCTGTGACATCGTAGACAGTCGGTGGTACTCGGGGCATTGACTTCATGGCAATGTCGGTGCTGCGCTGAACATAGTATCCCTGGGTGTCGTAGCGGTAGGCAGAGGTATTGCGGCGCCCCGTGGTCAGGCTGCGGGTCCCATCGAGGACCGATTTCAGTAGAGGCTTGAGACTAGGGAGGCAGGCGGCGAGAATAGCGACATTTAGCTCCGCACTAGAGATGACAAGTTAGTTTTCTCCGGAGTCTGGGCTTCAAGAGTCACCCACCAGTTCCAAATCATGAAAGTGTCGTGTCTTCGATGATTAGCTCTAGAAGATTGCACTCTTTGTCGGGTAGTCCCGTGGGAACTCTTACCGATACATGTTTTGCTCTTTTAGTACGTTGACCTGCGAAATGATCTTGACAATTCCCGCGACGCAGGCACTAGTCGACGGTCAGTAACCACCATTGGAGAAAGAGTAGAGATGACTGACAGGTATCCAAGACTCAACACTCCTATCAGCGAGAACTTGGTTCGCCAGTTGACCTGAATCCCTATAAAAAGGGGAATTGGCAAAGTTGCAAAGATGACATCGGTGACGAGGTTCGTAACTAATCAAGTTATAAGATAAATTGACTCGAAAAGTGAAATTGCACCTCCGAAAAGGTGATGCCAAACTTACTACTGTTCCAGAGGCCAATAGCTGTATAAGTATCATTGTCGAAACAGCGGGCATGAGGTCGCAAGCTTGTATCCCACGCTGCCGCTACAGGAATGCATTGCAGAATCAGTGTAAGACCACAGGCAATGGTAAATGCCACCAGAAAAACTGCCGCTCATTAGATTGCTGTCACCCAGAACATAGCCTTGAGCATTTGCGAAGGTGCACCCACTGATCGATCCAACTAGCGCCTTGCTTAAAATAGTTGATGAGAAACGTCGCAAGAATACAGCCAAGGAAATTTTCACAAGACTAAGCCCGACCATGACAATAATTGAATGATAGTATACCAGCTTAGACAAGTCTTGCTCATCTTCATCGGTGATGTCTTTGCTGAAGCGACCCACACCGTGTTGAGCTTCCAGCACAAAACAGACTAGCACACCAACGGCGCACAGCTATTTTACCTGTAAGTTAAGAAGCACTCGAATGTGCGATGGAATAGAGCACATGACTCACCCACGCTACGGTAATAATGTACTCTTCTGCGTTGAATCGTCGCAGGAGATACCCTCGCACATAGCAACGGAGCCACAGTACCAATGTTGACAGGCCGGTCAGTGTGCCAACTGCCGCGAGAATTCCAGGGGCATTGGAGCCACCCGACTCATCACGAAGCCAAAGTATCTGCCGTGGGTCACCGGCTCTGCCGGGAAGAGGAGTCATGCTGGCCGCGAACTGCTGGCCCTGTCACGGAGGACGGACTGAAGCTCGACGCAACCATGTTCCCGTGTCGAGAATGCCTTGCAGCGGCCTTTTCTACTTTCGACAGATCTGTCATCACTGCACAAAACTGTGGAAGCCCCCAAAGGCCGACTTGGCACTTGCAGAAATAGCGCCGGGGTCTCGAAGGAGGCTTTGGTTCCTGGGAGTCTATTACAAATGGATACCCCTGGCATTTCGGATGGAGAGGACGACATCCCACCAGTCGTATCAGCGCCGAGTTTCGGGTGGAAGGGTAATAGATTAATTTACCCAAACGTCAAGATTCAGCAAAGTCAGAATGGAGCCACGCTACGGAATCTCTAGGCGACTAGCAGGGGTGTCGCGGGATTTAGTGTCATCGAAGAGGGTTTGGGTGCTGACGGAGTAAGCGATAATCTCCGGAATTCTGCACACGGCATAGTAGCACAATAAAAAAATTCACTGCGAAGGTTACAGAATAGAAGTGATGCGAGAAACACTTCTCTTAAGACACTGGTCTGCCAAGAAGGTCACACTGCCTATCACTGGAGTCCCATGTGGAAGACGCTGGTAGGGAGCTGATCGCGACGATCACTCTGGGGGAGGAGCCGACTCACAGACCAGAGAATGAACATTCGAGGGACGCAACCCAGCGGGAAATCGGAGGCAGTTCGGAGGGTCGGAGATTGGCGAGCTCCACCCGGTGAGGCTATATTTGACGGTGGGGATTCTCACGGAGCATCTCAAGATTAAATGTCCAGTCACCACGACACAACCAGTTCTCTAGTGCTCCGCGGACCTCTTCCGGCGGCTGCCCCGATTCTAACGGGGTCTCTTGGCAGCAAAGCCGGTTTCAAACGATGTATCCACATCCGAAGTCTCGTGTGGCAGTTTTCTCCGTTGCCACGCGTGGGATGGTGGTGGATCCTTGTCATGCAAAGATAACCCTGGCTTCAATATCTATTCACAGCACTACACATCAGGATTTCTCGAATAGCGCATATGGTTGTGATGATTCGATGCACCCCACAGAGCCAAATAAATCCCTTTGAGCCTGTCAGTCGTGGGTCATTCAACCCTGTCCTCAGTCCCCACTTGGCCTCGCTTAGAGACGCGCCGGTCCGCCACGAAGCGGGTTAGTATCGTGGGCATCATTCTAGACTGTCAACACCTGCCAGCAGTCTAGTTTCTCCAATTGCTAGCGTGCTCATTATATTGACCCTTCTTTCAACGGCCCAATAGCCAACTTGCAAGGCTACACTACTGCTCAGCCTTCCCCACCACGCCTTAGGGAAAACACTGCTAGCCATGGACTAGACCGCGCCCACGGCGTGCAATCTATTATTCCAATCGTCTGAGGGCTAGCCTTCCGACTTCCGAATGGCACCTCGCCAAAATGAGCCGATAGCCGTTGAATTGGCCTGCAGCTATGCACGTGGTGGGGAGAAAAGCAGTATATAGAGGTCGAGGCGGACCGGGTGTCCCTCTTGAACGACTCCAGCTTGACACCAAGTCCTCCCCTGGTCCAGCGAGTTGCACCGACAAGCAGGATGCGTCTCTCCTTCCTATCTGCTGCTATTGCAGCCCTGACTATCACTCCTGTGTCGGCAGACACGCAAGATGCTGTCGATGTGCTGGCTAGCAAGGCCTTGGCCACCAAGCGTGCCTATTTGGCGGCGGAGGGCTCTTCCAACTCCAGCTGCAACATCAACAATGCGGCTGTTCGCAAAGAATGGTAAAAGCCACTGGTATCGACTATTTCTCGGGCTTCGAAGCTGACAATACCTCTCATACAGGGGCTCCCTCGCGCCGGAGGACCGCAAGAAGTACACTGATGCTGTCCTCTGCTTGATGTCTAAGCCCCCCAAGTCTGACCCAAATTGGGCTCCTGGTGTCCGCAACCGTTATGATGACTTCGTGGCGGTTCACATTAATCAGACGCTGTATATCCACGGCACGGTGTGTAGTGACTGCCAAGCCAGTTCGAATGAAACACTGCTAACATTACTGCCTAGGGCAACTTCCTCACCTGGCACCGCTACTTCACCTGGGCCTATGAGAATGCTCTGCGTACAGAGTGTGGCTACGATGGCTACCAGCCATACTGGGCATGGAACAAGTACGCCGCCAACCCCATCAACTCGCCCGTTTTTGACGGCACCGAGTACAGTATGTCTGGCAACGGTGACTTCGTTCCCCACAACGGCACCCCTGCGACTGACTATACCACCATCCCGCCGGGTGTGGGTGGAGGTTGTGTCCGCAACGGCCCCTTCGCAAAGTAAGAGTCCTCTCCGTTAGCTCACTCTGAGAATGAATTCTAACCGTGGATAATCAGCATGACCGTCAACCTGGGGCCGGTTGATCCTACCCTGCAGATCCCTGGCCTCGTAGCCCAGAACGGCAGCGGTTTGGATTACAACCCCCGTTGCCTGCGTCGTGATATCTCTCCTTGGACCGCTCTGGGCTGGACCAAGACTAGCGATGTCATGAGCCTAATTGAGGAGTGCGATAACATCTCCTGCTTCGAGTGGACCATGCAAGGGTTCTTCGAGGAAGGTTTCCTGGGCGTTCACACGGCCGGTCACTTCACCATTGGTGGTGATCCGGGTGGTGTAAGTTGCATATTTTTCACTTGCGATGTGATGGAGCTAACTCAACTCTGCAGGATCTGTACGCTTCTCCCGGTGATCCGGCATTCTATGTCCACCACGCTATGATTGATCGCGTCTTCTGGATCTGGCAGAACCTGAACCCTGCTAACCGCACGTACGTCGTCAAGGGACCCGACTTTATTGATGGTCTGATTGCATCGCCCAACGCTACTATTCATGACCTTCTCTACATGGGTAACCTGACGGTCTCGCGGGAGATTCATGATGTGCTGGACACCACGGCTGGGACTCCTCTGTGCTATATTTATGAGTAAAATAGTTTAGAATCCCGAAAAGGGGCATAATGAATATTGTAATACTTTGTATTGATTCTAAACAACTTGCATTATCCATTCAAGAGAAGACCAGCATGCCTCAGCACGAAAGTCCGTTTAATCATGCAAGACTGTAAGCGAGAAGCGTTCCCATTGCCAAGATCCGGAGCCCTCCGACCGGCGATTGCGTCGCGGGGGCCTTACTCTCAGGGGATGGAGTTGGGCAACTGAGCCCGGTACGGAGAGGATTACGACACGCACTGGAAGTCAAAGCCGAGGAGATACTTGCGGCAGCTGTGGAATCGATCTTGACCTCGCAAGGACTGGGAGTCGGGGATGGGCCCACAGTCGGTGCACAGGATGGTGCTCCCCAGGTTCGCGTAGGCGACACGTCCAACAACTCTGGGACTTGTATAGCCTGGGCTATAGACTGCTCGCACGTACTATCCTTGGTTGCGGCGGCGATGTCTGGTGGCGAAGTGCCATTTTTTATCGAGAAGCGCAACTGATGGCGGAGCGTGTCAAGATATCCGAAGGTCAAGGCGTCACTCTGCGGAGAATGGGAGCAGTTGAACATCCGAAGCTCCCAGGCAAACACGAAGGTGCCTTCAATATCCAGATTCCCGACGCTCCAATAGAGGAAGTAAGGGTCACTTCTCGTATAATTGGTGTTCACGAGGTGGATCAGGCCCGAAGTAATATAACTTTCCCTGGCTTCGACATTTTCCTGCTCAATGCTATAGGAGATCGTCGGGTTGAAACTTGACAGGAGACTCGGGTTTTGGATGGCAAACATGATCGGAGTGAGAGGCGACGGGGAATAGCTGTCGTTACGCGGAAAGATCAAGTCGATTTCTGTAACTCCTGGAGTGATAGAGGCCCGCCCGTAAGCAAAGCCAAGAGAGAGGATCAGGAAAAGACAGCCTCGAGTACGCAAGTTCATCTTCGTCGTAGGGCGTTATGCACAAGGAGCAAGTTGACGGAGGAAAGGGAGATCAGGGAGCAGCAATGGTTCCTTAATAGGTGCGTAGTGTCTTGGCTCGTGGGTGCCTTCAAAGAAACTGTAATTATCGTTACTCCATACTCCATTTATAAACTCAGTGCTTTTGTCTCGTATGGAGTGACTGTCACATCGCGTATGCAGCCAAGCCTCGCCCCTGACTAGTGTTGTTCACGCATGCGGGGGTATCTTCGGAAGGACGTGAGCATTCCACACAAGCGAAGTATGTTCCAAGTAGTTTCTTACGTTGAGTATGGGTTTGCAGTCCTTGCTGTTTATGAAGCTGGTTATAGAGGCGCTCAATGCTCTGGTGTCTTTTTGGAAGATCGGTGTATGTTCGAAGAGTTGTCTTTGTTAGTTCTCGACATCTACCTGGGTTGGTTAAGTTGAAATATAAAGAGGAACAGGTCTCGCGCCACCCAAGGGCCCCCGAAGGTGCAACTGTAAAAAGTAGGATTAAGCATAGAAGCACAAAAAATGAAGAAACACTACGTTCCTATTCTGGCGTTTTCTGTGGTGCAAAAGTTGAGGCAACGTCCACGTGTTGAGCAGTGAACTTTAGCTGAGGGTAAAATCTTGACTCTGATGAGATTCCAATGAACAGCATTCACTGTCACGGAACGGCCACTTGACTGGATACTCTATTTGAAGTCCTTCATACCATCCTCTAGAAGTAACACTTCATGAGGGATGCTATTCTTTAAAACAAGGTCAATATACCGTTCCCAAAGGTGAGCTGATTGATTGGAACAATCTTCGGACGGACCTTTCACAGTTGGAGAAGCGGCAGATACAGAAGATAACTGTCGCACCCGTCGCTAGGGGTTCAGGGTTCTGCACACGCCTTTACCCAATGTCAATGAAGATACTCATGTCATTATGGGCCACCGCAACCCTTGGCTGCCAAGCGATATAACAGCCTTCCTGGTGGATACGCTGCCACTGGTACTATATTGCTTTTGTAAGAGGGCCTCTAGTCTCATATCATGGATCACTGCCTTCTGAACTGTCCTGTTTTGATTCTCAGGCAAGTCTTAGGTGATTTTCAAATTGCAAAAAAGACCACTATTCTCACGGTGGGGAAAGATTTCAGCTGTCGGCGCGGCTACCATATAAGTAACTGTGGATGCGCATTGCTTCCCCTCGTAATAGTCCAAGATTCAAGACAACACTCCGTAACAAACAAACATATGGCCAGGTTCTGGTGGTATTAGGTGGCGGTCATTGGCTTGAACAACAAAGAGGGTTATTCGTATTCATCCCTTACATTCATGGAGCATGGGGACGACTTCCAATAAGACCACACTGCACATCAGCCTTTACCAGTCCATACCGAATCCCGATTTCCTTCAGTATTTCATAAAATCGCTTTCTATCTGTCCCCGCTTGACTGTGTTCAAGAACCTCCAGTTTCAAACAGAGCCACCGCCAGTCCAAATCCTCATGTAAAATGCCCCGTATCTCGCTGAACAGGTCTAGATTAAGCCGTCGTTTCCAATATCCCTTGTCTACTGACCATTGGATGCCTTTCAGCACTGAGCCTACATCGTCAAACTCAAGATTATCCATGATCATGTATTGCAGCTCCAACGGAAGACGGATGAGCCATGAATCAGTAGAGCATGATGTATGGCTCACCTTTGACATCCTGGTAGCTCTAGATCTGCATCGAGTTACAAATCGTCGAACGGATGTCATACCGATGGGATCTGGATTGTCTAGCGTGTTATCTCATCAAAACTACAGATTGCGTATATGAATACTCACCTCTAGGATCCATCAGTAGCTGCGATTCCACGGGCTCGTCATAACTGATATCTAAACGTTCCTTCATGCAGCGTGTTCGCAGCGCATGCGAGAGGATGCCTAGATTTTCTTCTGTATGCGGCCATTTAATGACCCGGAGCAGCTCTCTCCAGCACATAGCGTGCACCATATATCCAGCCAGGGTGGTCTGCTTCTCGATATTCACCTTGGGTTGAATCAGCTTAGGTGCCGCCAGCCCATGGCGCCAGATTCTCTTGTGTTTTCCGACAGACAGGAGTCCGTTATTCTCATTCCACGGAGCGTGAAAAGTGCTACACGGCCAGTAATTCTGAGCGATCCCGGATATCCTGTAGCATCGCGTTTTAGGATTAAACATGACTGGAAAAGTTAGAGTGAACCAAATAAGGTGCTTATCTTTGCTGCCCGAGGATACGTACTGAGCCGGTACAGGGTGCGCCATCCAGGAAAAGTGAAGGTGTAAAAATCATCTATCTCACGGGCTGAGTACGATATTTCACCAGCATTTGGCTTGGAGTAGGCGTGGCGACCAGGAGAGTACTCTGACGGGTTGCATGAAAGAAGGTTGCAACAGATGTAGCAGAATGGATGCTTCTTATACAGTGGATATGGATAACGCTCATCATCAATATATGGCCAATCTGGATTAGGATCCTGCATTTTTTGTCGACTGTGCGGTTAATTATGCTGTTTAATTCATCTTGTTTCTCTCACTACTCTTTGTATTATGGTCGTGTTTTCTGGAGGCACTAAATTCCCGGCCTCCTCGCTCATAATGACCTCAACATCTGGTGCCTCGGAACGGCTCAGAAGTACGAGAGCAGTATCACTTTTCGGCATCTTAATATCATAATTACCTTAAGGTTCCCAACTGAAGGTCCACTGGGCCACCAGTCGGTCCAAAGCATGGGTCTGGAACGATGAAGTCCTGTACTGCAGACCATGAAAAAGGCCACACGGTCTCTCATTGCCCGTTAACCCAGAGATGTTTAACAGTAATTATTCCTTATTCAATCCTAGCAGGACCAGAGATCTTTCACCAAAGAGCAGCGTTGATGCTACGAACGATTGCTCTAATTTACTTCAATGTAGTCGGGATGTCGTGGACTTGCGCATCTATCATTCCTCTTCATTTTCCCCTGCTGTCAAGGCCGGCGGGAGACCGGCTAGTGGTGGGACTAACCCATGGTTCGGAAGAAACTCAAAAAGGGTAAGCTGGAAACTCGCGATAACAGGATGATACCTCGCGCGACGTTGCCTCCAAGAGTAAACAATATGTGAATTGATAAGCCAGCATTCCCACTTAGTGCAAAATTTGCCCCCCGGGCCAAACTCGACTCGGGTTCTTCGACCCAACTTCAAGCAGACTTCTCCGAGGCTCGTGGGTCTTCTCCGATCAGGGCAGGCCGTTGATACGTCGGGTTTCAAAGCTAGTGCTGTTAGTGTGTTTCCCAGACTGCTTGGGAGCCAAAAATTCACCCACAGGATGGACCAGGATCGCAGGGTCTTTTCAGGGTCCGCCGTTCATGAGTCCCTTTAAAACACTTGGCTGTCGCATTTCGCTATTCTCTCACACCCCCCTCATCCGCCAATTCTCTCGTTTTGTTTCTCCTTTCTCCTCGCGAAACCAGCTTTCACTCTTTTGCTACTGGGGAATACCCACGAGTCATTCTTTATGCTGCCAACCATGAAGGTTACCAGCCTCTCCGCCATTCTGGCGCTCTCTCTTTCCGCACACGCTCTATCTAACGGTTTCGTGGGCTGCTACTCATCCTCCGGCAGCTTGGTGAACAAAGGCTCCAGTCAATTTCAATCCACGGGATTATGCACAAGTACTTGCGGTCGCAATGGTGCGAGATACGCTGCTACCACAAATAGCGTTGACTGCTACTGTGGCTCTTCGCTGCCTCCGAGCGCGAACCTCGTCTCCCAGTCAGAGTGCAATGTCAACTGCCCAGGATTTCCAGAGGACCATTGTAAGTGTCGCCATTCCATACCCATCACTCTAAGGTACCTCGTATCATTAACGCTTAAATTGCGGCGCATGTAGGTGGAGGCAATGGCTTCTGGTCCGTTCACCAGACCTATATCACGGGCGATGATGTCGACGGCGGCGACAACAACAACAACACGGATGATGGGGATGGAGACAGCAATTCGGGCGACAACTCCGGGAATGGTCCAAACGATGGCCCTGGTAGTGGTTTCGGCGATGGCCCAGATGGTGGTCCAGGCAAAGGCCCAGGTGGCGGCCCGGAAACGACGACGGCATCCAGCTTCACCGTTTATCCCACTCCTTCTGCAGTCATTACGGTGACATCGGTTCCAGCTGTGACCGGCACCAGCTCCCCATCTGCCACTCTCCCGGGCAAGGAATCGTCCAGTGTCTCCGTCGCGACGGTATCTCCAACCACAGCCACGTCGGGGGCCAGCCGGCGATTCCGGTTCTTGTTTTTCTAAATTGCTCATAGACCAGCACCACGTAGTTGCGGTCGCCCAATACTGTATACCCACCTGTCAAGGCAACTGAACTGGGCATCACCATATTTCTGTCTTTGATATAAACCTTCGACAGTGGCTCGTTTTGCAGCGGTAGCTACTCCAGTATGACGACCACGTTAATGCTGTCCATGAGGCAGATTCTCGCATGCTGCGCAAGAGACGGGCTAGATCGCCCAATTTCTGTAGGAGTTTGACCACATTGGCATAACGTTGCCGGCCACTTTCGAGCATTTGGAAGAGCGCAGTCGACCATCGCCCGGCCGACACTCTGGCGCAACGCCAGGATATCCCCCCTCGTATCGGTGCAGCCGTGGGTCCTAGGCCACGGCAACGGAGAGAATCATCAAGCCCCACGGTCGCATCGCTTCCTCAATGCGAGAATAGGGTACATCTTGCTATCATAAAATCCCCTCAGAATGGCGATTATCCACTCGGTTCTTGCAGGTTATACCTGGTTTGGCTGCATTGCTCAAGGCTTCGTCGGAAGTCGCAGCCCATCTCCCGCATTTCTTCCATGGTCTTCTCATACCTCATTCCACGATAGCCGGGCACGGTGAATATAATGCAATAACGGACTGTTCCGACTCAGGATAAATCATTGATGTAGGGCGCGGCGCTGTTTTCGCATAGAGTGGGACAGCGAGACACAAGGGACC